CAAATATCTGTTATGATATACATACGTGATGGCTCATCTTCGAAAAGATAATGCATCTTCTGTGACACATGTGCACTATGCTATCGATATAAGAGGCAGCTAGATAAACGAGAACGAATCGATTGAGATGGTCTGACAATGTAGAAAGTGGGGCTTAAAATGAAATAGCCAAAAAGGTAAAAGAGTTTAATAGAGTAAATGTTGAAAAAGAAAGAAGTAAGTGGATGTCATAACTAAAGGCACAAAGGCCTGGGAGTGAATAAAGAAATGGTGGTAAATAGTTTTGTCGAGAGAGAATTTTTGCCGACCGAACCCTTATGACATAAGTATGAAATAAGTTGAAGAAGTAAATATTTTACAAGAGCTCCATATTTATACATCTTTTAAAATTAAGACTTCATTAAAAGTTTTAATAATTAACATAGATGTACATCATAGTTTTAGTTTTAACTAATTCTCTATAGGCTATCGCATGCACTGAACCCAATACAATATAATATAGTGTGCCGTGTGTAGCGTCCTCTCAAGCAGTGCTTTTACCACTTCAATAATACTATAGAGGCCATAAAAATAAAATCAATTCAAGATAAATACTGCACAATGTACGTTGTTTCCCCTAAACCACTTACATAACATAATAATATAACATCATAACCTAACGAACAAGAAATACTAATTAAAATAATAATACTATTATTATTGCGTAATTAACTTTCAATCTTTTTTTCCAATTTATTGCGCATTTCTTCTTTATCTACTTAACACTGATCAATATTAGTGCGCATAATTATTATCATTTACCGTGCCGTATTTTTAATAGTGTAGGGACTGATTTGATTGAAAAAAATTGTATTTCCTCATTAACGATTTTTTTTTTCTAATGGTTATTAGTTGTAACAGTATTTATTCAAAACTGTCTCCTAATTGTATACAAATAAACTGGTTTGAGGTATTCTATTTAATATAGCAGTACGGATCTGCGTACACTATTAAAAAAAATGCATTAACTATTTATTTAATCCAGAAAGGGTAGATAATTTATCTTTATTTTTATTATTGAGCTTATTTTTGGACTTATGTCTGAAAATACGACCGAAGGTTAATAAAATTGTTTTTTATTTTCAAAAGACTAGTTTTACAAGTGATACGTATATTATGCTTGAGTTGTCCATTTAGCAGGAACTCCACTTCCTTTCTGGGGATGGAGAGGAATTCCAAACTGTAATCGAAAAATATTCATGAATAAAAACGGTGTGTATTATTTGTATAATTAAGACGTGGGTGTGAAATAGAATATCAAGTACTTTTGTACGTTAAACTGCCCACTCTCTATGAATTTCCATGTCGATTAAAAAAAAAAAAAACCGTCTAAAAAGTTAATTTACCCATATGTTTTATGATTTGAGTGTGATATTCCATTTAATGGATAGTATGTATAGTACTATATCAAGTGCATAAAATATAAACATTAATAGGACCGTACACAATGTCTAACAGCGGATGTAGTCATTGGTCATCTTAGGTGTACAATCGGAAACAGTTTTTTCTTGTTGGAAATATAAAAGGTAATTTGATTTCTGATGGCATATTAATGGGAAAATAACTCCTTAGCTTTTAATTATATAGCGATTGCTCTTCAAATGAACAATTTGCTCTTAAATGAAACAAAGGTTAATCTCCACATTTAAGGATTTTTTATCTGGACTTCGAAATATTGGATTATTTCCTTCCTTGAAAACATTGTATCAAAAGATGGATCATTTGCATGGATGCCATATCACCTATAACTGTTATATAGTATAATGCATGATAATTTGTTGTACCCTAAACAGCTATTGTCATGACAGATAATAACAGGTTAAAGGCAACTTCTTATTGATATTTAATATTTGTATCTACCTCTTATAACGCAGTTAAATGAGCTTAACTAATATATTATGAAATATTTTTCTACGAGGAGGAGAAACACTTTTTATACAAAATTGAAGATTTATCAATATTTCGAGTGATTCTCTCGAACAAATCGTCAGAAACCAAGTTAAGATGGGAAATTACACTTAACTAAAATATTTGATCGAAAATCGTCTAAGTCAACATTCAGACGAATTTTCGGGTTTAAATCATGTATTGATATACTTTTACACTAAAATAGCTATTTATTTGTACAACCAAATATTGTACAATATATCATAATAAAATAATTGATACAAATTAGGGAAAATGATTCTTTTAATTATTGAGTTATTATTATCTAGTTGCCCAAAGTTAATTATGTCGAGGATAATAATTATTATAATAATGTGATATTGCTATAAAACAGACGACTAGCCATGTCAGAATGTGTCAAGTATATTAATTACAGTCTACATTCCTGACCTACTCTTTTCTATTTTTTTTTTATGAACCCAATAATATTATATGGACACGCGCAACACATTAAATAATAATAATATTATAATTCTTAATGCTTCGGTTTGATTGTATAATAGCGTTCTTGTTATTATTAATATTATTGTTGTTGTTGTTGTTACCGATAACGAAGCAATGTACAAAAAATGATTAATGATTCAAGCGATTGCCGACTGGAAATAATAAAATAATAATATGTACCGTGTAGACAAAACGATAACGATTACCTATGTAAAAATATTTTTAACAACATAATTTAAGAGTTATTAAAAAAAGGTTATCACTATTAAGGGTTTTCACATGACTGCGGTCAAAAATCAAATTTGATTAAATTAACTAATGAGTGATTAGTGATTACCAGGAAAAGGAAAAAGTAGTAATATATTATAACGATTATGTATAATTTGTTTGTGTTTTTTTTTTAATGAAATAATTTCTTACAACATAAAAATGCCATCAAATCACTATCATATCATTTTTCTTAAAATAATTTATCCTATACGGAATTTAGAAACTAAAATTTTGACAGTTTTGAGAAGGAATATAGTTTTTTTTGTATGAACTAAGCTTGAAATATTTTTAAAATATACTATGATTTGTTTTTTTTTGTTTATTATAAATAATATTAGTACATAAATATTAATTTTTTTTTTAGAACTCATTCAGGACACTAGTTTCAAGTATACATTTTTGTACTCGTAATAACATGCGTTTTGAATGTACCTTTAATTTGGTAGTTGTGGTTTTTTTTTAAATAATACAATTGTAAACGAATATGGCATACGTAAATCTAACTTTTGTATTATATGACAACCAACAATGTTTGTATTTGATTTAAATATTATGTAGTACATTAACATTTTATAGTTAAAAGTATTCAGATAAAATAAAAAATTGTCAATTACTTTACTCGTTTAGGGTTTTTGTAAATTATGAATGGTCGTTTTTTTTTTAATTTCTATATTTTATAGTATAAAATATTTATAGTCTGTAATTTAATGAGTTATTTAAAAGACAAGATTTTTATCCTAATTTCCACGGGAGATATTACTAGCGGTTTGTGGAGTAATGGTACATTTTTGAGTTTGTTCGGAGCAACAATTTGTCATTGAGGTTGTTGGCAAATAAATGGTTTTCTGTAATCCATGCGGTTCTATATCTCGAGTTTACCTTAAGTGCTCATAAATTATATAGCATTTTTTAACCAAGTTCAATGATAAATACAACCAGTCGTGGCCGCCGTCGCCATTAATTAAGCCTAGATAAGAATAAAGAAGTGTGTTGTTATTGTTGCTCAGATAAAACGTTATTGTAACTAATAATCATATTAGTTACAAGAATCAAGTTGTAATTTTATATAAGTTTATTTACTTGTCATTATAACATTTTATTATTATAAATGAATATGACTCTATAAATATAATAATATAATAGCTAATGTAAGGTTATTCAACATTTTTCCCTGAAATCGTACTCAAAAAATGTTTTAGTGGAATCGAAATACATTTTTGGAAAAAAATATTTTTGGCTTTTCATAGTTCAGTAATTTTGATGTGTCCGTCCTATTCACGCTCCGTCTGTCACAAATTCTAAAGCACAAAATCAGTTTTAATATATCAGTATTGAATTATTCATAACCAATTCCCTTTTCGATTCACCCTTTTTTTATTTTGCCTAAGGGTTATGAAATAAATCAATTTTCCACTTATAAGTGTAATATTTTACTCATTGCCGTAAATTACTTTTAGTCACAATTTTAAGAATTATAAATATTTTAACAAGTATTAGTAATACAATTTTATTAGTGGTTATAGTAGTTATAGTTGGCCTAAGTTTATTAGGCCGGTGCATATAATAATTTGTACAATTTCGTAAGCATCGAAGCTAAAAATCAAGTTGTTTTTGTAAAAATATAAGTTAACTAGGAAACGGGTTAATAGGTATATAATATATATGGGTCAAAACGCCAAATTTGAACGAACGTTTAGAGCGACCCCAGCGGACTTTTTTGAAAATCACACTGAATGTCTGTTACGACGAAAATAATGTTCTCAAATTTGTTTGGACTTTTTTTTCGATTATTTTGGTCATGTCTGTAAGAAGTATGTTTAGTTTTTTTCTTGACACTTCTTTTTTAGAAAAAATTAAATAAATAAATAAAATTAAGAATGTTTTTTCCTATTGCTATTACAATGTGTATAAAGTGCTACCTATTAAAAGGTAAACAATAAAAACTGTTGTGTGTGTGTGTGTGTGAGTAAAGCTTATTACGTGACTGCGATTATGTCTTATACTTCATTGTTTGACTTATTCTTCTGAAAATTATTTAATGTACATATATGTAAAAATTCTGTGGCTATCTGTAATCCCATCACCGAAGAAAATCCTATTAGATGATTTTTATTGTACTTCCTCTGGAGTTTGGTTACTGTTACCAACAAAAAAGTTAAAAATTTTGTTGTACAGCGTTAGTAATTGTTTATTTTAAATTCACGCTATACTACATAGTAGATATTGTGCTAATGTGAACTTAAGCATTTTGAAAACATAATATTCTGTTTGCCTTAGAACTAATCAGTTGTTTTTTACAGGATTCAAGGTTGAGGCATTTTACTGGAGCCGTGTGTCGTGAAACAAGCGGTGAGTAAAACAATATTATACAATATATAATTCATATTATCCTTTCAGTGAATAAATTAAATTTAACATTTAAAAAATACTAATAATATCCATTAAAATTAAATTAAAAAAAGTGGATTTCTCTCGTACGAGGGGCACTACGCCTGAGAGGGATAAGTCTTTTCCAACTGCCTGTGTTTTTATAAAAAAAAAAGGTACAAAAAAGCTTTTCTACCCCCCCTCCCTCTCGCAAAAAAAAACTTATGGTCAGTAACTCTTAGGCTTTATTTTGAAGTCCGTTCTTACTACTTTATATCACAATGAAATGATCAAAAAAGCTTATGTTTTATGTCCTGCGGTATTGTTTTTTAAATGTCACCAAAGTCGTTATGATCTACGTACTGTTACAGATAGATGGGATAATGTAGTAGACGTTACCTTTATGTAGTCTGACAAAAATAATTTATTAACGATAACTCTCCATTACAGTACTACATATTTATGGCATTGATTATAAATCAATTGTACCTATTTAGTATCAATGGTTTTAGTTTTATATTAATAATCTGCAGAACATTTTTTAACTTTTTGAACCACTCAATAAACGGGTTGTGTGGCGTATTCTTGGGACCAAATGCACCCAACAATCGATCCAGTTGAAAACCACTAAACCCTTAGGTCTTAACTATAGGTCCTACGCTGAATTCGAGATTTCACATTTCAGGCTCGACACAATTGCATTACGTCCTGGGTGTATGTGCGTGTACTGTGTGTGTTTTAAGAGCGTCGTGGACAATTAGGCAACTTGCGCTACTATACAGCATTAAAGTGCCGATTAATTGGTCAATTAGTATAAAAACAATATAATTTGTAAGGGCGAAAATTGTGTCTTTTTTTCGACCATCGTACGTACAGCGCCGCTATCGAACCGCGTTACGGTTTTGTGGTGACCAATCAGCTGTTTATTATAAGATACGTCTCCTTGAAAGTAAACGCACTCTCTAGGTAATGACCATCGTGTAAAGTAGAGACCTAAGTACGTGTGGTTCGGTCGGTGCTGGCCGATCGTTTCTCGTGTCGGTTCAAGGATGTATGGAACGTACATAATCGATTAAGCGTGCGACCGGTGAATTTTCCCAGTGCGCGTACGGACTATTGAAACCTCGGTCAAGTCCAAAAAACCGAATCAAAGTCGTCTCTTGTATAGGTACAGTCTTCGGTATTTTATTGTCCATTGTTTTTTTTTTAACGACATGTTTTCACTAAAACTTCTAACGTATATCTTTTTTTTTTAAATAATAACATTACATCGTTGGAAGTACCTATTCGATAAATTATTTAGAAAAAGTTAAAGATAAAAAAGTTTATTATTTATCTAGATAGTACCTATCTATAAGTTGGCGGGGACCGGAGCATAGCAACGTCAAAGCAGCCCTCTTTAAATTCACCTTTTTTTTTAAATTGTTTTTTTATTTTATATAATGATTAATGGCTGAATCATTAACAGTGCGAATGTAAAAAGGCTCGCGTTGTATGTAGAATGTCGCGAAATATTGTTTTTTGAGCGTTATAGAAATGGACAATGACAATGCAGAAATTGAAGAAGGGTTTCATGAACATTTCATCAAAAGTTAAACGAACTGTCAAGTTATTTATAGTCATTTGAAACATCAAACTGTGCCTGTTACGATTGATTGATTCAATTTCAATAATGTATAAACCGTTTAGTTCTGTGTAAAGCGCGGATTTAACATTTATTTTATAAAATTAACGACAAGAATAAAGACAAAGATGTCGTATTTATTTTATATTCAGAACCAATAGTAAAAGTATAAACGATTGCAATATTGAACACACTACATAGTTTTTTTTATTTTTATCTCACATATTATACTGTTTAATCCCGGATAGGAGAGTTTTTTGGATAATAATTAACAACTTTTTGTTTTATATACATAATTTATGTATTTTAAATTGTTTTGCCACAAATGTAATACAAATCATCGTATATACTTGTATATTGGCGATAGCTGGGTTTGATTATATTTTACACAAAACTGGTCTTCAGATTTCGACAAGGACTTGCCTAATGCCAAATAACATTGATTGATACACAGACTTCGCCAGCAGATAATTTATATTTGTAATTAACGACGGGAAACATATACTATACACTCGTATAGCAGCCGTATGAATATGTTAACTCCTCACCCCACCTTGAAAAAACAACAATTTACTGCTAAATAATATATTTGTTTTGCATTACATTATACTAAATGTAAAATAAAAATATAACTGATTACAACATGTTTTTTCTATAAAGCAGTCGCTGAAACTTCCAAGTCACAACTGTTTTATGATTTTTCAATTTAAGTTTAACGGCAAAAAAAAATGTCCCTAATAAAAAACCTGTTCGATTATTGTTTTTTTTTTAAAAATATGAAATTTTAGGATTGACCTTCGATGAAAAATGAATACTCTCCACCATGATTATGGTTCAAATCTAAGGTGTAACTATCATAAGTTGTTGATTGTACTTGAATTTAAATATATTATACTTATAATTTATATCTTTAGGCTTGAATAAATTATAAAATAAAAACAAAAACATATCCTCGAAATTTCTCAAAAGAAACGTTTTTTTTTGTGGCCAAAATCAACGGTTGCACAAGAATCTCTCACTCTCTCTCGAAAGTCGTTTATTTTTTTTCAAATAATTAACTGATAGCGAGCCGTTCTGCTATTTTGGAGTTAATTTAAATTATTTGCGTCATCGGCATAAATTAAAAAATAATTCTAATAATATAAAAACGTTAGAGTATAAGTAGTATAGCCGAAAACGGGTTAGATGGGTGTGCGTTCGATAATTATTCGGATGTACATTCAAATCATACCACAAGATCAACCCCACACAACTAGTTTTCAGCGAAACAGGCAATGACGTCGAACTGGATCCTTGCTGTAGTCCAAAAAATAAATGTTTTATTAAAAAGCTATTACTATGACACGTGACGGACGACTATGGTGTACGTGAAAAGATGTCGAGCACATGTTTTCAAAAAAAAAAAAAAAACAAACAAAAACGCGCGCTACCGGTAAAAACAGTAAATAAAAAATGAACATTAACTTTTGGGAGAGATTCACATAATATTATAGTGTCACAAACGCCAAATCGTTGCTACTAGTATATTATAGTACTGACGGCATGTCGTAAACGAACCATACGCAGGTAATACATACTTACATTCCACGCTAAACCTAAGCGTGTATTATATATGATATTTAAGCTTCAACACGTCAAAGTATTGGTGTTTTAATGTGTATTATTTTTTGTTTGGGCCGGCCAATGGTGACTTTTTAACAACCGTATAAGGGATTGAAACTTTAAAGCATTTTTAAGGGGGTAATTTTAGGACTTCTTAGGCCTTAAAGTCTGATGGTATGTCTAGCTTGTAGCTGCATAAAATATATGAAAACAACGTTATTTGACGTCGTCGAATGTTGTACGGTCATTATGTATAACACACACACACACATGTTAGAATTGTCAATATTGTCTTTACAGTTTGTGCTACTAGAAAGGAGGAAACGGCAGGCCCAAACTATTCAAAATTAACAAACGCGGTTATTGATCGTTTGTAGTAATAAAATATAGAAGTGGTTTACAATAAAATACCTAACCGGCGCGCCGGGCTGGGTGTAACTGATTATTTTTAAAGTCAATTGGAATTTATGGTAGTATTTAAAAAAAACATACATTGTAGTATGTCTAGTTGTATAGTTCAGTAGTATGTCATAGTATTACAGTGTAGACTGTCAACGTTGATGTTCTTCCGTTGGATTTCATAATAGGTTTCCCATTACGGAGTATACAATATGCATGTTTTGCCAATTGGGATACATTAGTGTTGTCTATTATAGTGTCATTAACGTTGTATAATAGACGTTTTTGGGTGCTACATAATATTATGTTAACCGACCGTTTGTGCAGTATTGTTGGGGTTAGTGGCCATCGTGTTAGCGTCTCTGAAACGCTATTGTGGTATATTAAGTTATCTTTGTATTATATTCGGCGATTTTGACTTTACTTTAGGAGACACAGTCCACAGACAACGCCCAATTGTCACCTAGTTATCACACCAAGAAGGTAAAATAGCGCTGGTCCAAAATATCACATTTTGAACAAAATCGCTCAAAATATTTCTTAGTTTGCTCCACTACACGTTTTTAGGATCAATCATTATTTATATAAATAAAACCAGGAAAATATGTTATTATCATTTGTAAATAACGTGAGAACACTTTAAGCTATTTTATAAGTAAAACAAGTTTTCAAGTTCACTGATTGAAAAAAAAACGGTCAACAATTTTTATATAATTTTTAAAACCAATTTACCAAACTAGTAGTCAGTTGGTATATAATTAGTAATTTATTAATAATATCTCATTTATTTGAACAATTTTATTGTTTAATTTTCTTAAAATTAAAATTAAAAACCTGGCTTGAATTTTTTTTGCTTATACGGTTAAGTTTCAGATTCAGTTTAGTTTTCTGATTTAAACTCTTTAAAATTAACTAAAAAATGTTTTTCTTATATCTAGTTTTTAACTAGAATCATTCTAAACTATATAAGATAAACTATGGCGTGTGTTAAAGGTAAGATAAACTTACCATTTTTTAATAGTTTCTCTTTGATGGTTTTGTGCTATGAGTCTTTTTAGTAGATAATATAGACAATATGTAACAAAAACTATACTGTACAACAAATTTTAGTTGTAAAAATCTTCACGTTTTCAATATTTTTTATACTTGGGCTAGGATTTTGGATTTTTAAAATAAAAAATACTCAATTAATAATAATAGACTATTGAAAAATGTAATTTTTTAAACCTTACAAATACCATGGCGATAAAAATATGTTTAAGAAATCGTGGCGTGTCGCATATGACATTAAATTTACTAAGCAAAAAAACCGTTAAAAAATCAAAACCTTTCAGAGTTTCCCGGAAAACGTTTGCTG